TCGTCATCGTCATCGTCATCGTCATCGTCATCGTCATCGTCATTTCGTATCTTATTTTTGACGAATGTGTTAGTTGGTTAGTCCTATCTCATTTGTGAGAACTTAATGAACTCACTCATGACATCTTAGCTATCTCCGCTGAACTTTACCCTTTGTGAATCCCTTTCTTTAGTGAGTCGCTTAATTAAGGACATGGCAAATACTAGTTATGCAATGTTTTTTGAGTGACATACTATATGTAATATCTCACACGTCGCTTCTACTTACACGAGCCTTCAGGCGATATGCTACTAAGATATGCACCTGGGCGCAAAATGTCAACAAATTTCCGTTCTATATTATAATGTTTTCCCACTCATAATAAATATTTTCAATTGTTATTTGATGACTTACTGCAGTTTGCCTCGCAAATGTTTTGGTTCAAGGTCAGTGATGTTCCGTTACACGCATTCCTGAGCGTTTTCAAGAAGGCTAAACATGTGGATGTAGAATCACTGTTTCCAGTCCAATCCAAGTTGTTGACGTTTTGGCCAGCAGTTGTAAGAATCTTATCGACAATCAACTTGCTGTAGCCAGGCTGGACGTTCATGTTACATCTTGACTTAACTAAGGAGAATATATAAAAAAGTCAAAATCAATTTTGTCATTGTGTTTTATGATGCCCTGTGGAGAGGAGGCCGGGGAGGCCGGGATAAGGAAAAAAAGCTTAATAACTTTACCAGTGAAAACTTTTGTGACACCATTTTGTTTTACCATTGAATCCCTATCGCTCCCCCCCTCCTCCCTCCTAGTGGCCTGCATAAAATCCCTTTATCCGTCAAGGTTTCCTAAATACAACTTACCGGTACATCCATCGCCAGAATATCCTGGGATACATATTGTCTCGTACACCATATCGGTCGCATTTAGCTTGCAGTCTCCTCYATTGCCAGGATCGTGAGCACATTTACCTGCAAAGAATGACATTCGTAATGCATATAAGGAATAAGAAGCCTACAGAAATCAAGGATGGCGTAGCAGTTGTGCACTCGCTTCTCGCCTATAGGGTCTAGAATTCTATTCCCTGACTCGACATCACATGTGAGTATAACATGCTATGTCTTTCCCTTGAATCGAGGTACATTGATTTTCCTCCCTCCACAAAAATTAACGCGCTAAATGCCGATTCGACTTTGACAAGCCCAGAGGCTGTCAGGGAATCGATAAACAATTTGAAGGCAATCCTCAATGTAATTCTTGGACCAGCTACTTATCATGATGTACGTTTCCTTGATATGCATTTATAATAATAATAACAATAACATTAATAATAATAATAAAATTATTAGTATTATTATTAATAAAAATAAAAAATAAAATTTAATAATAATAATGATAATAACAATAATAATAATAAATGTTATTACTTACTGGCATTACATCGCGGGCCAGTGTACTCAAAGGCACAATCACAGACATTGGGCCTTACGCATTTTCCGAAATTCTCGCAGAAGGGTACACAGGATGCTAAAACATAAAAAATAAAATTTAATAACATGTTTCTTTATTCATATACCATTACCCTTTCTTGAACCTCTAAGTTCATCCTTACCTAAAACTACCCTTTCGTTTACTCATTCTTCAACTTTCCATCTTCAATTGCTTACTTTTATCCTGGTTTATTGATTTATCAACCGAAGTATTTGTTTACATGTTCAATCACAAAGACCATTTTATTTATTTTTCTCACAATTTTTTCAGTAGGGTGTGGACCGCGACGTTTCAACTGCTACTGCGCGCTATTTCTTCATCAGGCGATGGTGTAGACTGGAAGGTGTCCTACTTATATACCTTCTTATATACCGTCATGTTCAATATCTTTATTTATTTATTTATTTTATGCATGGCGTTGATGTCAGTGTGACAAGAAAGTTCACTTTTTACAGTCTACTCTCCCAACATGTTCCCCAACATACAAACTTGCCCTACAAATCAAGCGAATAAACTCCCGAACTTGCTTAATAGTGGAATGTTAGTCATGAACTTACCATGTTCACATAGGCTGCCGAAGAATCCAGAAGGACACTGGCAGGTATTCCTCTGTGGATCTTTACAAGTTCCTCCATTCTTGCAAGGTGTACTACAAACGGCTGTAATGTGATAAAATTGGAGTTAACGATGATGTGAATAAGAAATCGCGAAATGCAATATTATTTACGTCCTTCGAACTATATCCTAACTCGAAAAGTGAAATTCTTAACAGTTGAAGTGAAAACGAATATATAAAATGACATTAGGGAACGCAAAGAGACCGTAAAGGACAGAGAAGAACTTTCGCGCTATCCTTGGAATATGGGATAACGTAATTCCTCGAAAGTTATCTTTAGATGTGCGAACGTCTTAGGTATTGATACCTTCCGCTTCTGGTTCAGTCAAAGCTAATCGATCAACGAGAACATAAAGCATTAAATGATTAGGCTATCCTGCGCACTCGTGCTCCTGAATCAATATATCTTCTTTGTTAGTCAGTATTTATTGTTAAAGTTATCTTTAGCACAGCTATACTAAAGTTGGTGCTTTGATCACATGCGCTCCAGAAATTCTTGGCACAAGGCACCTAAAGTAAGTCTAGAGATGAACATTTACCAGTTTCGCAGCTTGATCCAGTATAGCCACCGGGACACTGACAGACACCGTTTTGGCAGACACCGCCGTTCTGGCAGGTTGGGTTACATTTTTCTAAAAATATCAATAAAAATAGGTTAAGAGGAATTTTTTTTCTATAATGAGCAATAACGGCAAAAAGCGCAAAAACTAGTTTTGATCCCAATTTTCGTTTTGGGTTAACACTCAAAACCTTTTTCAAACAGTTAGAAAATGATGTGACAAAATGCCTGTTTGAAGCGGTATTTTCAATTGTACAAAGATGTTTTGTTGCATTTGTGTTAGAATGTTGCTTTGTCAGGCTTCATAATAAAAAATATATGGGAAATAAGCAAATGAATACGCCCCAATTTTTGAAAGTCCGGATAACTGAAGTCTTTGAGGATAATATGACTCACTTATGACAATGTAAACTTGATTAGTAAACATTTTCGCCTGGGAGCCACTTGCAGTTGAAAAATTTTGGGTTTAAAGCGAAAAGAACAATAGGGTTTAGTAAATGACGTCATTTACTCACAATTTAGATGCTGAATAAAATTGATAAATTTTAACCCCCACTTTTTACTGTGAAGAAAATATGTTGCATGGCTACTATTGGGGCCATATAGTTAAGTTTAAACAAGTTTAAAGTCATTTTCAATTTTCATCGATTTTTATCCAAATGCCCCTTTAACATTTGGCGCAAACATATAGCTTTTAAAAGATCGTTGTTTCCTACTAAAAAAAAACAACAAAAAAAAAAAAACAATTATATATCTGGTTGGGTCAACTTACTGTTCTCGCATAAATTGCCATCGAACCCTGCAGGGCATACGCACGTTCCGTTCACACATGTGCCATCATTCTCACAGGGGTAGAGTTCACAACCTGGAAGAAACAAAATTTTCAGACCAAGCTAAATTGTTTAGTTGTTTTAGCAAGTGGATTTGTTGTTCGGAGAGTCTTGGTATCTACTTATATTACTTTCAAAAAAAGCTGATAAGGGGTAGAGGTTACAACCTGGAAGGAAATCTTTATACCAAGCTGAGTTGTTTAGTTGTTTGAGCAAGTGGATTTGTTGTTAGGATGGTCCTGGTATTTCCTTATATTACTTTCATAAAAAAGGTGATAAAGTAATGCTGTATTGTGATTTTACATCAGAGCAAATTAGACATCACGGCCTAATTTATCAAATAACTAACCGTCATGAAATATATTTTTCACTGAGATAACAATCTGCAGACATCTATCTTAACAGGAACTCTAGCAAACCATAATTTATCGTAATATCTCATGCAAGCGTGATATGCCAAAAACGACAACCCCAGTTAACTATTAAATCAAATAAAATGAATACTCATTGAATAGGCCCTTTGCAGCTAAGCAATCACGTGTTGATTAATTCACTGAGAGCAAATGAATGAACATTTTGATTCCCATGGGTGAAATATACTGGTGAGGAAACAACATTTCTACAACCTGTTTCGAGAGATTGTAATAAAACTGCAATTCGTAACACACTGGGTACACATGTTTTCATTCATTTCTTTACAAGTAGCTAAAAAGAATCACCAATTTAATATAAAAACAAAAATTTTGCATTCCAGTACAGACACGTGACCGTTAACTGTAAAGGGCCTATTATGCCCTAGTTTTCCAATTATCCAAGGAGCATGATTACAAATAATGTTAACCATACCTGATCGCTTGTTTAATGTTGGTACCTGGCTTCTTTTTTGGGATGAAGTGTCTAAAATATATAAAGAAATCAAATCTCCATTACACATTTCTTCGCGTATTTCCTTACTATACTTTTCCTCCTTGCTCTCTTCCTTTCGCTCTCTCTTTTTTTCATTCATTCATTCTTTTGTTTTTTTCTTTTCTTTCTTTTAATTTTCATCGTTCATTCCCTCCTTTCTATTTTTCCTTCCTTGTTTATCTTTCTTTAATCTTTTTCTTTCCTTTCTTCCTTTTTCTTTTCAATTCCCATTCTCTCTTTATTTTCTTCTTCCTTTCTTACATTAACCCGCTATTCTTTTTTCACTCCTTCCACCCAAACTTTTTGACTTCCTTTTTTCTTTTTACTTAATACTCCGTATTACTACCTTCCTTCAAGTTCTTTCTTTCGGTCATTTTTAGCATTCTTTCTTACTTTTTTTTTTTTAATTATTATTTTTATCTTTTAGTAATTTATAATTCAGAAGAACTCACCCTTTTCTGAAAAACCACAGGCATCTTTGCACTCTTTCTTGCTGTTGAAGATACCATTCTCGCGGTTATCCTCAGCATCAAAGCTGGTCGTTCGAACACAAACACCAAATCGTCTTCCAGTGGTTTTACTCTTGACGACAAGCTTGTGGTAGTATTTGTCAGAGTTTGGAAGGAAAATGCTACAAGACTTCTTGGATTCCTCAGAGTCTAAATAAGTCATATAGAAGTATGAAATAACTTATTAGACACCTCATACATGCATAAATGTATGCATATACACTTATTTCAATAAAGTTAGTCACCAAAAACCTAGAAAGCTGAGATCACTGAGCATCATGGGAAACTTTTCTTATCAAAAAAGTACATATATACAAAGCTTTTTTAAAACAAACTGCAGCTCGATGATGCTCAGAAGAGGTGAGACTGTAACCGGTAAAAGATTCGAAAGTCCATGAACAATTATCAAGCTGTTGAACGTGTAAAATGAATTTACCCATAATCCTTGTCGGCCTCAGCTTTATAGCTTTTCAGGTGACTAACTTTATTGAAATAGGTGTATAAGTATTTAACAAAAGATATAACAATTCGAATAAGCTTAATATTTTCAAGAATGATCAATTACAAGCTGCCTATAATAGCTAGAGTTGTTATTGAACTTTTTATTTTGAAGTTTGACTCAAAAGTTTGATACTTATTAGAACACCTATCCTTTTTAAGAAAAAACTTCTAATTTTATGTAATTACTAGTAATGCCAAGATGAAAATTAATGACTATATAAGCTTACTAGAAAAGTAGCGAAAAAGAAAATAAGCTTTGTGAGAGGAGGGTGGCATGGGTGGCGTAGTGGTTTACCGCTCGCCTCTCACCACTCTGGTCCGTGTTCGAGCCCTGGCTCAGACTGGATCATATGGGAGTTGAGTTTGTTTGTTGTGTTGTTCTCTCCCTTGCCACGAGGGTTTTCTCCGGATCTCCGGTTCCCTCCCTCCGTAAAAAGCAACATTTGACTTGAGTGTTGTATGTTGTAAATATAGAATGTAGTGGKAGTGCGTGTGGAGGGAACCTCACGGAAGAGCCCCGTATGGGGAGTGGTGGTTGTAAAAATATAAGTTATATATATAAGTTAATTATTTAACATAAGACGAAGAGAAAAGGTTATTATAAAAATGTAATAATTCTTCCTTACCACTACATTTGGCCAAGCACTCTTGATGTGTAGCCTTCTTGCTAATGTCAACACCATTGGCTTGCTCTTCGATCAAGCTGAAAAGATGGCGCTGGCATTCACCTTCGGCTCTGTCGGCAAAGTCAAATAAGGCATCCACGCGCTTGAACACTCCCTCAGATGGTCGACTTTCGAGGAAACATTTGGATTCTACAAGAAAAAAGTTATGGTCAGATGATTTGCTATAAAATAACTTAAGCTCAAATCAACTGGGAAACAACAGAAGAAAACATGCAGTCTTTTTTTTCCTCATAAATAAGTAAATTGGATCTTTTAATTTGTTGTTAGCTTTTGCCTAGCTGCAGCATAGAGGCTTAGGCGGCATTCAAAATGTATGGCAGGGGGGGGGGGGCAGATGAAATTGAGGGGGAATAGGGAATTTTTTTGTAGGAAAATGGGGGGATTGGGCAAATTTTTATCAGAAAAATGGGGGGATGCACAATTGTTGGAAGAAGCTACAAGCCTTGCTTCGGGGGGATCGTATTTTTTGCATGACTTTAAGGAAGGTGTTAATAATTATTCTGGACATTTCAAATTTACACCTCTCCCCCCTTCCCCCCTCTACCATACATTATGAACGCAGCCTTACTTCATTCGATTTTTTTTGTAGGTTTTGCCTTATTATCATTGCTTGTGTTGTTGTTTATGTTGTTGCTTTTGTAAACTAAAACCGGTTACCTTACTATATATATGAAAGCTAATCCCCTCCTTTGATTGGGCAATGCAATCAGGGATGAGAAATCCCTTGACTAAGTACTTTAATAAAATTAAATCTAAACCTATAGACTGTATGGATTTCATATGGACGCCTTCACAGGATCTTTCTGATATTATGTATCTTGCCGTCAGTGTTGTCGTTACCTTTTGAACGCGGCTGAAGCGGCTTATCCTCTGCTGGTACAAGATCTTCAACTAAAATTGAATGTTAAAAATAAATTATTCAGTTATCACTAATGATAAGCAGTATCCTTAGAGATAAGAAGCACCACTATGACACGCGAGGGGAGGGGAGGGGAGAGGATGGGCTGACTCATTACTGATTTATGAATAAAAACATTAGCTAAATAAAAATTTAAATCTTCCTGAATTTTATACTAACTATACTATACCAACTTTTTTATTTTTTTATTTATTTTTTCTTCGTTCAAAGATTTTTCATACATAAGAAATGGTTAAAAATCTTAAATTCGAAAAGATAATCGAAGAACGAGTAACCAGAAAAAGAAAAAAAATAGATCGGTTTGTGGAATACTAAAAAAAATCCAAAAAAAAAAAATCAAAGAACGAGAAGAAAAAACTTCAAAAATCAAAAAGAAATTTAAAAAAATTTTTTTTTTATAACAAGGATATGAAAAAACTGACAAAATCCAAAGAGATATCGGTGAACATGGTAGAACGAGGATAAGAAAAAATTTAGTTTTTGGATTAAAAAATCAAAAATTATTGCTTTCAAAAAAAAATCAGTTTTTATAGATTTCCCAAAATCGTAAATTCAAGAAGATAAATAGAAAACAATAAAAGAGGAAAAACCAAGTTGAAAAAATAGGTAATTGAGGACATTGTCAATTAATAAACCCGCGTAAAATTGTAAAATAATCTACGGTCAAGTAACTGAAAAAAGACTGAAAAAATAGGTATTTCTGGAGAAAGAAAATCGAAAATTCAGAAAAAGTAATGAGGTAAAGAAGGAGGTGTGATTGAGTTGTCAAAGTAACATGACTTCAACCACAAGAATTTAATTTTCAATACAGTGGGTATGGTTTACATTACTGATAACTCATAGCCATTAACAAATCTCGAAAAACTTTAAAACACTACAAACTTCACGTTCACTTCGTAATGACAAATCGTACCATAAATATTTGGCAACGATATCAAAATTGCGTCTGGGCATGATTTCCCCCCGTTAATAACCAATTAATTTTCATTCCAAGAAAATATTGAAAAAATTAAGTTGAAAAAAAGAACTTAAAATTAAAATTTTTGTGAAATCAAATTTATTTTTTGAGAAACACCTAAAAATTCCCGAGAGATATTTTTTGTTAAATTTAAAAAGATAGCCGAGAAACGTCGGAGCGAACAGGGAAAAAAAAAATTTTTTTTTGCCATCCTTTTTATCCTAATCAATTCATTATCGTTTCAAGAAAATCTATTCTACTCGAAGAAATCAGTGTATTCTAGTTTAAAAAATTGAAATTTAACGAAAAATTCAAAATTTTGTTGAAATAAAATATTTTTTTCTGATAAATACTTTTTCTTTTTCAAAAAAGAAAAACTTTGTCCTGAGAGAGTTCTGTTCATCGGGGCGTTTGATTGCATACTTAGAATTAATCACTTAGAATTAAGGAGAGAATGAAAACGAAAAAAAAATTTTGAAGCGATATAAATTAATTTTAACGATATCCTCTAGAGAATCTTCTTTCTATTTTCTACCAACCCTTTTCATCCCCAATTCTCACTATTAAAGTAACTTTTACATAACTATCATATGATTGCATAAGTTTTCAGAGTCGTTATATAACATCAAGGCGTATCGTTACATCCTAATTACAATAACTGGAAAAGGATTCTTATCAATAGAATTACATTTTTAGGGAATATAAATTTATTAATTTTCAGAATATAGTTCCATTCAAACTATCCCTTTTTACTTGGCCCAATGCACAAACTAAAACGGGCTATTTTGTTTCGTTTAACTGAAAATTTGACTTTCTTTTCTTCCTAGTTGTAATTTTTCCTTCTCTTTTATTTTTCTTTTCCTTTGACCATTCATTATTTTATCCATTCTTCCCCATTTTCTCTCTCTCAGCAATTCGATTTTTCTCCTATTACTTTCTAAAAATTTACCATAAAACCTTTTCGAGAGCTTTTATATTTTTCGCGCCAAAAATGTACTTCTTTGGCCTATTTTTACTCAGTTCTAATTCTTTATTTTATTGATTAAACTAAAGTTGGTATTACCTTTGAACTACTCCCAACTTTTACTTTTAAAAAGACATTCACTTTCTCCCCTTACTTTTTAAAATTTTACCTTAAAACTGTTTCGAGAGCTTTCGTATTTTTTTCGCCAAAAATTTGCTTTGTTGGCCTGTTTTTACTCAGTTCTAATACTAAAGTTGGTATTACCCCGCTTAAACTACTCCCAACTTTTACTTTTCAAAAGACATTCCAACAACTAAACTTTTTTCTAAACAACACGACCAATTTCGCCCTTAAAAACCTCTTAAATAAAACACAGTTTCTTACCACTTCGCTGTTCTCTGGCAAGAGCTGCTAAGTTATCTATTTCACGTTCAAATGCTCCGGGTACATTAACACTAAAACAGCAAGAAGAAAAGTAAAGTTAGTCCTTAACTTAATAAAATAACAAGGGATAAATTTGATGGTCAAGAAGTGGGATATTCAAAACCTTTCTCCAAGAACCTAAAAAAGAGGTCAAACTGACTGAGATTTGGTAAATTTGTTACTCCCAAGGTATTCGTAAAACTCCTTAGAAAATTGGTAATGTTTGAACTAGAAGTGATTGCCAGTCCTGACTTCATCTTCTCTTTCTCTCTCAGTCTTTGCGCTGCTTTATCCTCTTTTAGTTTTGTGAGTTTTCTTTTTTTTAATGAAAAACCTGTTGGATATACTTTTTACTTACCTAGCATCGGTGATTGGGGCAGTGAGGTGGACGGTCAAAATGATCAGAAGCCATGAGGACAAAACTGCTGGGATCACACGAAATCGTATGTGCATTTTAGCTTAATAGAACAGCGAAAAATATTCCTTTCCCCTCTTTCTGTGAGAGGGCGCAACAGTCCTTTTTCTCTTTCAGAATTTTAGGGCTTTTAATAGAAAATTCTCTAAGAGATTTTACGAAATAGGAAGACAGATTTCTTCTTGAGGCCCTAGGCTGTGGCCTTAGAATAAGGGTGAGAAATCTCAGATTGGCCTTTTTGTAGCGGAAAAACAGGTTTAGTGATGAGCCAATAGGAAGCATGGAATACAAAATTGAATGCTTCGCCTAAAGTCCGCTGTGACTATAGAGACATACTAACAAGCCGTCCAAATCTTACAGCTACAATTATAACTTACTAAAAACCAATCAATGTCTACCTCATGGACAAAATAATCGTCAGTTACTTAGTTACTTCTGAAACTGCCTCCACAAAAATTCAAAACATAATAGAACCAATAAAGTCCACCAATCAAATGGCTGGGAATTTCGATCACTCTAGAAAAATTGACGGATGCTTTATGTACATTAGAAAACTCATTTGAAAAATATGAAATATTAACGAAAATTAAAGGAAATTTTTGCACTCCCACTCTCAGACAACCTTGGAAATGCCGGGCACATTTGCAGTACAAAATTATTCCCCAAAAAAGATTTCAGTGTTTTTTGTCAAAGTTTTCTCTTGTGTTTGACTTTCATTTTCGTGAACTTACTCATATTTTTCGTCAATTTATATTATTGATTTAATATTTATTTTTAAATATACTGTTTATTTCTTCGATATTTCGCTAACTTGTTTTCAAGTGATAACTTGATTCAAGGCTAGTCAACTGAAACTCAAAGAAAATTTCAAAAAATCGTGCTCAAAAAATAACCATTAATATAGAGAAAATATAGTGTCTTTTACAGAGTAAATATAATAAAGCAACAGAGCTGTTTTTACGTTTGTTGACTTAGCGACACCGAAATAGAAAAAATACAATTGATATTATTATGATATTTAGTCACACAAAATATTATGGTCTGATTTTTCTCGAAGGAAGCGTGTAAATACAATCGTTTTACAAAGCGAGGTATTCGACTTTATTCAACCATAAAATAATACCGATTCATGTTAATGAAGTGAGGAGGAATCACTGAAAAAATTAGAGATACAAATAATTAAATAACGATGAAGGTTTAAAGTCTGCTGATAATCCAATGATCCCAACTGAAAAGTTTCATTTTGTTGAAAAATCTTTTGCTGAAATTTATTTAAACAAGAATAAAAAAGTCTGACACCCTGAGGCTGAGTGGAAGGAAAAACTCGCATTTGCAGTCCCGTTTTTCCATTCCTTTTCGTTTCTTTTCTTTCTTTTTCCTTTTCAGTTAAAGAAATTCTCTTTTAAGTACTTCGAATAAAAATCTTACTGAAATTTTGTAGTTTTGCCGGCAACTACGAGGAATTAAAATCATCCAAATTTGAACACTGAGAGCATGACGACCGCATGATACAAAACTAATTCCGCCCGAAGCAAAAATAAAAACTACTCTGAAATACAAAGTAGAATAAATTCATGAACAAAAAAATAATGGAAATCCGTTCCTAAAGCTAGTTAATTAGTTGAAAAACATTTGTCATTCATTGGATTCATTTTCTTGCATTAGAAATTGTTAGATTTGCTATTTCTTGGAATTAAAAAAAAAAATTAAAATTTCGTACAATTAAAAAAGGAAAAACAATGAGACTTATTCAGTGTTTTCTTGTTCGGTATTCCCTTGTCTAGGTGGTTGAAAATGTGTGGCTCAGTGTTTTATAGTGCCACCTCTAAAGCTGGAATCTACCATRATATCCTCTGATAGATTTCCATTATTATAATGCAGTCGAGGAACGGGTTGGGAATGCAGAAAACGGGGAAAGGAGTAAAAGAAGCGAAGCAGAACCAACCAAACAGCACAACAAACTCTGCCAATCCTTATCGAAGCCAGAAAAAAAATACTAAAAAATTAATACCAACTCTAAATTGTTTTCTTATGTAAGCTGGTTTAACGATATTTTATGAAAAACTAAGTTCCTTAAACTGCTTAAAAATAGCAATAAAAATCTGATGGATAAAATGGCTGGAATAACTATAATTATCCATCTGCATTTCAATTTCTTGACCGAGAATTAAGGTGGCTCGATCAATACGATTTACTAAACACTACTGTGTAAATGTATCTTTATACTTATCCAGAGAACACCGAATGAAATCAGGAAAAATGAAGCGATAAGTACACTCCGAGTGCCTCTCGACTCTGGGATATCAAATCCGATCCCCTAATTCATCATCCCATATGAGTTTTCCGGATTCTCCGGTTTTCCTACCTCTACAAAACCTGTTTAACAAGTAGTAATTTACAATGCTATTTGTGGGTTATCCGTGCCCTGACTTTGATTGACACAGAGGTTTTTTCGGGGTATCGATTAAAGGGTTTTTTTTAGAACTTCCATGGAGTTGGGTTGTTTTGTTTGTTTGTTTGTTTTTTGTCGTTGTTGTTTGTTTATTTTTGTTGTTTGTTTATTTTTGTTGTTTGTTTATTTTTGTTGTTTGTTTGTTTGTTTGTTTGTTTGTTTGTTTTTGTTTGTTTGTTTTTGTTTGTTTGTTTTTGTTTGTTTGTTTGTTTTTGTTTGTTTGTTTTTTAGTTTAGTTTTGTATCATGGTTTTTTGTTGTTGTTGTTTGTTTTCTGTTTGTTAGTTTGTTTTTTGTAGTTGTTTTTTGCCTGTATGTATGTAAGTGTTGCATGTCTAGAGAATCAGATCAGTCCAATACTAAGGCGAGGTGCTACAAACAAGCAAAGACTACAAACCAAAAGAGAATATCATACTTACTAATATCTGAAAATATGAATTTTTAGTAAAGTGATAGAACTACAAAAAGCATAGTTTGCAAAACATATATTGGATGGCACTAAACAGCCACACAATTCCAACCACAATTACATTTATTGCGATAATTTACAATATTGGAAGATTTCTCTGAGAATTTTCTCAATTGTTCAGTTGTTATAAAAAACCAGCATTCACTTTCGATTTATTAGTGTCTGTTGCTTCAAGTTCCGTTTATGCTAATGACGCAAAGTGAAATTAGTGACGTCAGGCGAAATTGGCCAATAGTTGCCTTCAAGATTTGGTGAAAAATACGGAACATGTTCGGTTTTGCGACCCAGACTTGACAGTTCTTGGAAACTTAGATCGCCGTAGAACAATTGATCTAGACGGAAATAATCAAAAAGCGAATAATGTTCCACTGCTTATAGAGTTGGCTGGGACGCAAAACCATGTATAAGAAATTTGGAAAAGAGTGGAAAAGAGTGGAAAAGTGTTAAATGGATTATTCGTTAATAATTGATTAATAAATTAAAATTTCTATTTCTATTTTCGTATATTTACTTACAGTAAGGACAACCGAGCCGTGAACTCTATGATTTTTTTTTGTCACTTTTTTAAAGTGTATGTCAAGGAAAATTTTTTTTTTCAAAATCACTTATATGTGAACAGTGTGGTAGTATGGTTGCAGTATTTTTGTATGTGGACTTCTCTTTTCAAAGATATAAATATTTGAAAATTACAATATGCAAATGAAATTCCAGAATATGTTAAGTTTTGCAGTGTGATTTACGACAAGTGTTTTGAAGTGAAATAACCCAAAAGTGTCGATAAAGCCAAGTATTTCAGTTATAAGGATGATTTGCAATTGAAAAAACATCAGTACTTTCCACAACAGCATTTTGGTTTTATAAATTAGTCTTGAATTTCCGTCATCTAATTTGCATATTGATATTTTAAATGTTTAAGAAAATTTCACATACGAAAATACTGCAACCATACTACTACACTATTTACATATAAATGATTTAGCAAAAACAAATTTCCTTGATATTCACTTTAAAATTTAAATTTAAAATCATCCTTTTAGCCAATCAATTGGAAATCAGTTTATTTCGATCACTCGGTATATTTAAGCTCATTGCTTCATTTTAAAGGGTTTGAAACAACAGAAAGTTCAGAAAAAGATAACCAGAAAAAATCTTGAAGTATTCGCTTTTGTAGTGTCCTTTCCGTAATTTCTTTATTGATTCGTCTTGAAACTGGAGCAAAAATACGAATTAGACAGAAGACTCTGCTGGATAGACCCTTCCACGGTTCTTTTCAACTTTTGATATGAGTAAGTTAGCAAACATTTATCGATAATGCAAGAAAAAAAAACACCTCAGTCAAAATCAGTAAATTTGCCAAGCTTGAGAGTGATAGGTTGGAAACAGGCGAAGATATAGCCATGCAAAGTCATGAAAGTTTACAGACGTTTTTATGGTGGGGGTATGAACTTACCCCCAACCATATAAGCATCTCAGTGTAACATTTCGCAACTTTACGGAACGAGATCATTGCCATTTTCCAACCTATCACCCTCCAACTTGGCAAATTTGCTAAATTTGAGGTGCACAGCCATTGGTTTTGGTTGCTAACTTGCTCATATCAAAAGTTTTGGGGGAGGAGGGACATATATTAAAAGCTGCAAAAAAATCCTGTTGTCGGTAACTGAAATGTACAATACGATTTATACGAAATAATAAATCAATAATTACACTGATTTTCTGTTACCCAATTGTCTAGTTTATGTGTTGTAAGTCAAGTTCAGAAATCAAATCATACCCTGTCCAAATATTGTGTTCGTAAGACATTAAAGCGCCTCTTTTATCATGAACTGTTCACGTGCTATTATAACATTTGAACATTGAACAGAATGCTTAGCATGTACTGTTCACGTGATACATTTGGGCACGGTTTCTGGTTTGCCATAAAAGGATCGAACAAAATACATGAAGTATTTACCACATTTTCACACAACAAAATATAGTTTCCTGGCAACGATTGTGAAGCTGTGATGAAAAAAGCAAACTGAAACTGAAATATTTCTGCAGGGAACTTGAAGGGTTGTATCTTCTATACTTCGGGAGCAATAAAATCTTTATCTTGGGCGTAATTTTACTTAGAGTGCATACCATATACTTATTTCAATAAAGTTAATCACCTGAAAAGCTATAAAGCTGAGGCCGACAAGGATTATGGGTAGATACATTYTACATGTTTTAACCGCTTGATAACTGTTGATGGACTTGCTCATCTTTTACCAGTTATAGTCTCACCTCTCCTGAGCATCCTCAAGCTGCAGTTTGTATCAAAAAAGCTGTACTTCTTTGAAATGAATTGTTTCCCATGATGCTCAGTGATCTCAGCTTTCTAGGTTTTTGGTGACTAACTTTATTGAAATAAGTATATATCCGTGAAAAAGTTAACTAAAAAATTGTTCAAATTACTGCAAAGTTTTGTAGGTATACGGTTTACTGAACTTACTAATTTGTGCGAATTTGTTAAGAAAATCAGTTGCATTGAGAAAGTATGATACACTATGCAATGTGAATGTCATGCATCTTGTGCCGGTAATACACACTCACAGGGGGCATGTGCAGTCTGAAATATTATTGGCTGTAGTCATAACAACTCGTTTCGAGACTCGGTTAGAGGAGCGGTGTTACATTGAGGAAATGTCTCGAAATTGATGCCGCAATCTTTGCGGAAAGTTAAACTCAATTCTACAGCTGTCTGTTAATGTCATACTAGGCAATATCTCGTGCAACTTGTCTTCACGCAACGCTTGCGATAAGAGTTTCAAGGAACATTGCCTACTCTTTAACATCACCTTTACTTCGGAGTGGACATTTATTTTGATTTTGTGAGGCACAAGTCATGATAGTCCAAGTATGATCCAAAGTCAAGTGGAACCACTGCAAAGATTGGATTATATGCAAACGCCATTTCGTGTTCGATAAGAATACAGACCATAGAATAAGGGCCTCGATTTGTTTTTTACTACACAAAAAAAAACATTACCACGCATTTTTCATTCTTTCATATTGTGTTTGTTAAGACAGTATCTTGATCTGACAAACGTATACGGCTCTCGAACGTTTTTGTATACTTGGAGAAAACAAACATTTATTTTCTCACTCAAACTCTTCAAAATTCTTAGAAAACGTGCTAAAATGCACGCATGCGCAAACGTTTTTCTCTAGTGTCCATGGCATGTTATTTCAAATTATTTCGCTCGATCGGTCGATCGCCGGAGTCTGGTCGATTTGCATTCGGTTTTCGTTCGGAAGATTATGTCATCTTTTTGACTGACGGCAACCCGAAAAGCCAATTTCACAACAATCCGCCGTTGCGTTTGCAGAGTATCAAGAAAGGCAGTTAAAATTCACAGTAAGGTGGCGCATAGTCTCCCTCGAAGCTACCAATATTAAACAACCGCGAAGGAAAATAAGTGGCACTACGCCGTAAAACATAACTATGGTAACATCCAAGATTTCAACGTGCGCAGTTGGCCACACATCTCACCATGGTAACACTCAACCCTTCTGTAAAACATACATAAAGTATTCGATGGACTGATAACACCCCAGCTCCTTGTAATGGACGTCAAGACCAGACGAAACATGTCCACTAATTTTACTCAACAAATCCATCCGTGCCTCAGGAGCTTCGTCCGAATACTGTATAACTGTTCCCCCATGTTGTGAAACTCTTAGAACTTCTGCTATTAATTTGAAGAAGTCTTTTTCTCCGTTTGGAGATCTTAAAACAGCATCAGAAGTCCCTTTGTCTATGGTTAATTCGAACGTTTCGTCGCGAAAAGGAAGGTTACGTACATCGGCCAGGAAAAGCGATATCTCACCAACAGCAGTAAATAAAGTTTTCTCTCGATCTTTCAACAGTTTAATTCGTTGGTTCAGTATCTTCAAGGCTGTTTCAGAATAGTCGACACAGTCAATGTTACACTTACCTTGTAGGTGACAAAACATTTCAAGGCTGAAGTTCGAGGTCCCGCAACCAAGATCTAGGATTCTGGAGACCTGGTTCTCAGGGGGGAGGTAACGGGTAAGGTAGTCCTTGACATCGTAAAATCCTAGGAACCAATCAAAACCCTTGTCTGGCGAGTGCGAGGCGTAGAAATGTTCCCAGAACGTTTTATCAGACAGGTCTTTGGAAGTCGTGTAGTTCTTGGTATTTGATACCCTCAAGTGTTTTACTAAATAAATGAGAAAAAATACAGAAATGCATTAGCAATATTGTGGTACATTTTCTTTCTCAGTACAATCAAAAAGATAGGCAGTTGACGACAGCAAGTTGCTACTGTTATATCGCAGAAGAATGTGGGATATATGTGAAAAGTATTTTGTCAAGTAATCTAAGCATAATTAACTATTTTCCTAACTTATATTATGTCTGTTTGTTTTGTTTCTATTTTTCGAGTGCAGTCGTTTGAACAAAAGAGAATAAAATAAATCAACACGAGAAAAATGGGAATTTAAAGAGCATAAATTATAATCTGAAACAAAAAGTGAGCGCAAACAAAACATATAAAACCATGAAATAAAAACAAAGTAGATAGGTCTACTGACAAATAGTAGTTGCTTAGGCCCCGTCCACATCCGAAAATTTTTGTATCCGAAAATGTTTATTTGCGGATACGGGTTGCGCCCACACGTGTCCGCAAATTTTTGTGTCCTTATCCGCAAATTTCACGAAAACGGATACGTGTGGACAGTGAAAACGATTCGAATACTTTAAAATAATTTGCGGATACAAAAATTTCCGGATACGTGTGGACGTGGCCTTAGTGACTAATAGTTGCTATCACTCAACCAGAACATTTATTAAACAAAAGACACAAATGGTCTCGTGTATTTGTCTTTTGTTTAATAAATGTTCTGGTTGAGTGCTAGCAGCTATTAGTTACTAAATAGCTACTACTTGTCAGTATCAACTTTGTTTTTATTTCATGGTTTTACTGCATGCGCCGTCGTAACAAAACATATAAGGACAAAAGGTAGAATATATTATTTAGACGCTAGTGTAGCGTTTACTCGGGCTTGTGAGGCAGTGACTAAGAAGCACCTTTTGTCATCCGCTTGCTTCAGCGTCACTTATGAAAGGAGGGCGCCGCGAACAACTTGTGCAATGAAGATCCACAGGCAATATGAAATTAAATTATAGAGCTATTCCGCACAAGAGCGTTAAAAATGTAAATGTAAACTCTTAGAGCTTAGGGATGCAAATGAGCAAAAATCCATGCACCGCAATGATCTGTATAGACTGGGAACGAGCACCACGAAAAATCCATAATTTCAAAAATATATTTTCATTACAAGAAAGACCATGCCTAAATTAGTAATTTCGAAAAGCTCTGTTGTCATATATTAAATCCCTGAAGAGTTATAAGCATTTGAAATGTACCGACAACATGATAGCAAGGCTGGTAGGGCCTTGGTTGTTGTTTCCATACAAACCTTTCTAATTTCAAACAGCTGTAGCTTTTTATCATTTAATGTTACTACACTAAAAGTTTGGAAGATCACTAATTTCGCTATACTCTTTCTAATGAAAGCATTATTGTCTTCTATAACTGATGAACTAAGGTATTTCAAGGGACACGCCCTTTTTCATATGGTCTATTGTACAGCAATTCACTCCTCAGACGAAAAACATTTTACAATGGTAGAAGGGCACTTAATTACTGATCAGTGCAGTGCGTGCRGTGTTTGCTCATTTGCATCCCTAAGCTCTAAAAGTGCGCATTTGCATTTCTACAGCAATTTTGAAGGAAAAAACATTTTATAATAGCTCGTAATTCTTTGTTACTTCTGTGCCACGAGACCATCACGCTAAGAATTGAAACGAAGTGCACTACTTAGAGTAGAGTGTAAGCAGTTTTCGTATGACTGTCATACGAAAACTGCTCTATTGTAAACATTACGTACGTCGCATAAATCGAACACACTAAGAAGTTGTACGGAGTTCAAGTTACGCTCTACTGCGATTTCTAAGTGTAAAAAAACAATACGTAGTATGTTTTGACTTAGCTATTTAAAAAAAATAGTTGTTTTACTTTGAATAGTTATATACAGTCAATGTCATTAACGTTGTCCACCGAAAAATGACATTTACACATTTAGACATTTAGACATTTASACATTTASACATTTACACATCTAGACATTTAGACTAAAAGAAATATCACGTGTTTCCTCGAACGTTCTGGCATAAAACAAACGCTGAAATACCATTCTCCATCTTAAATCCTCACTAAATTGTCGGGGCATTCTGGATTTTCAATTCATGAGTTGAATTTTACATTTAAAGTTCAGGCTGACGCACACGAGGCAAAGAATACATAATGAAACACGTGACATTTCTTTTAGTCTAAATGTGTAAATGTGTAAATGTCTTTTTTTCGGTGGACAACGTTAATGACATTAACTGTATATGGTTGAGTATAGCGTTAAGAATATATTGTGGACGAAGTATTTTGTAATTTACGAGGTTAACAGTGCAAAAAAAGGTTTGTTAGTGAGGTAAGAATCAAGCGTTTATGGTTAAACTGATTACGCGCAAAACAATGTTTGAAGACAAAAAAAATCAGTTATGACAAAAAATGATCAAAAGTAAACACCCTAAGACTTCTAAAACGCTAGACAGCGCTAACCTATCAAATAATAATGACCCTGTCTAAGACAATATTACAGATTGTATACCCTAAAATCCCGAAAACCATACCCTATCCAGCTGAACAGCCCGTAACCCGTATAGGCTGTATATGAGAATACCACCAGTGACTAGTGAGTAGAGATGTTAGAGGAGCCTATAAGCAATCAAT